ATCACCTCCACCAATATCATTCCTACACAATCATCATCACCTCCTCCATCACCACCACCATCACCAACACTACCACCACCACCATCACCTCCACCCATATCATTCCTACACAATCATCACCTCCTACATCACCACCACCGTCACCAACACTACCACCACCACCATCACCTCCACCAATATCATTCCTACACAATCATCATCACCTCCTCCATCACCACCACCATCACCACACTATCACTATAATTAACTGAGAGTTCACTGCATTCCAGGCACTATTATAAGTACATTGCACACAGTAACTCATGATTATAAAAATCCTGTGAGCTATGCGCTATTATTATCCTAATTTACAGATGAGGAAAGTGAGGAAGAGAAAGGTTAAGACACTTGTTCAAGGTCACAAAGCTAGTAAGAGTTGGATCCAGATACAGAAAGCAAGGAACAGTTACAAAGAGGGCCGAGAACTTTCAGAGATACAAGGACATGTGAAATATTATATATGAAAACTTGGCCTCCTTTTCTGATTGTGGGAATAGTCCAGTTGGATTGCTAAATTCATCATTCAAGTAAATAAGATGCATACAAGTTTTAATTCACTTAGTAATAGCTTAGTGATCAATTAGTTAAGTCTCTTTAAGCAAAAATCCAGGAAACCCTAGTTTCATTAATTACCAGACAACAACAATCAGTTCCTATACTAATCCTAGTATTCTGGAGAGATATGTAAAAAACCTTTGATGAGAGGCAGAGGTGGTAGCTAGCAGGACCTATACTCTCATTTCATCTCTAGCTTATTCTTTCTTGTTGGGATGTGTCAGCATTGCAGAAAAGAGCTGTGACATAATAATAAACATATGAGGGACAGAGGAGTATTCCTACCAGCACTGTCATCTGCCCACAAACACGTCACTGCTGTTGCAATTTACGCAATGCCAAAACACTTTAAGTAACTGACCGAAATACAAACCTCTGCAATTTATTGCCTGGAAATTCTGGAGACATTTTCAATCTATGAATTTTCAAGAGAGGAAACATGCTTTGTTATTTTGCATTTTCTTTTCTAGGGGCTAGACCTGCACTCACCCGAAAGAGCAGTTTGAATGGCACAGGTGACACACGCGATTGGCATCTGCATACTTCCAGACCAAGGTGTTGTTTTCTCCCAGGATTCCTGCTGGGCAGGTCTTGACACAGTGGGGGCCGTCGATGTAGTGGGCACACTTTATACAGTTGTCAGGTCCCTGCATCAAGACGGACAAATATTTATGCAAGGCTATCTCCTTTTTGAAAAAGAAGTAACTTTTTACTTAAAATACATACTACAAAAATACACAAATGGTATAGAAGTTCTCAAAGTAGAAACAAGTCTTCTGTGATTGCTCTTGTCTGATATGATCACTGTTAATAAGCCCGCTGCCATCGAGTCGGTTCTGACTCATAGCATTCCTATAGAACAGAGTAGAACTGCCTCATAAGGTTTCCAAGGAGCAGCTGGTGGATTTGAACTGCCGACCTTTTGGTTAGCAGCCATAGCTCTCAACCACTGCACCACCAGGGGGCCACCACTGTTAATACCTTAGTAAAAAGTCTTCTTGACTTCAAATGCATGTAACACATAAAATCATAAAAGAAACTGAACTATATAATTATTGCATTTTGTTTCATACATCATGACCATCTTTCCTTGTCAAAACAATACTGACTGACCCACATGCATGTTTATATCTTTAATGGTCAGACACTTTTTTGCAGATCATATTTGAAAATAAAGGGAAGCTCTGAGGGAAGTAAGGCTTGCCGAGGCAGATTTAAGAAAGCCCTCATCTATGTTGACCTAGTGGCAAGAAGGTGACTGCAAGTGCCTAGGTGGTTGCTTAATTAACTAATATGCTAAATTTGGTTTGCTTTGTACAACTTGGAAGGTCCTTGTAACACTTACAGAAGTGAAAGCACTGGGCCTGCTCCGGTTTCATCCTCTACACCTCATAAAACCAAAAAACAGCAAAACCCATTGCCGTCGAGTAGATTCAGACTCACAGCGACCCTACAGGACAGAGTAGAACTGCCGCATAGAGCCCCTGGTGAATCTGAACTGCCAACCTTTTGGTTAGCAGCCGTAGCACTTAACCACTATACCACCAGGGTTTCCACACCTCAAACGGGGACTAAAATTAAAACCTTTAAGGAAGGATTTTCCAGGTGGCTACATTCTCTAACGTGTCCATTCAAAGGCTGAGCATACCCAGAGCCAGAACAACAGATGAGTCAAGTCAATAGCACTGATTAGTTCATTTCAATGGTGAAAATTTAAACAAACACCATGTCAACCTAAAAATCAATGATGTACTTTATATTCAGCCATGCTGGCACTCTATACCTCAAGTCACAGGCTCTTCATCTCTGTCTCATTTTGAGAGAACTTCTGAAAAACATTTCAGTTAGTAAATTTAGATACAGCTGTTGAAGAGCTCAAATCCAAATAGAGCTCCCTATACAAATAATATTGAGTTAACAACACAAAAACTTTGGTATGAGAAGGACCTGAATTCTCAACTTACGTTTTTTAAAAGATTACCATTGAACACGTGAAACTCTGAATTAAAGGTTCTTTCAAAATTCTTCAAATAATTACAAACTAATGGCAGTGCAGTGGATTAAGAGTTCAGCTGTTAACCAAAACGCTGGCAGTTCAAATCCACCAGCCACTCTTGGAAACCTTATGGGTCAGTTTTGCTCTGTGCTATAGGGTTGCTATGAGTTGCAACTGACTTGACGGCAATGGATTTTTAATGTTAAATAAGTTGATAACGTTTGATTAAAATGATAAAGCAATGATGACAGACGTCAGAAATAGTGAAAACTGGCTGACAATATACCAAGTCCTATGACTCCTAGCTTGCATGTTGTTATGATGCTGAACAGGTTTCAGCAGAGCTTCCAGACTAAGATGGACTAGGAAGAAAGGCCTGGTGATCCACTTCTGAAAATCAGCCAATGAAAACCCTATGGATCACAATGGTCCGATCCTATTGTGGACAGCGTTGCCCTGAGTCTAGGACTAACTTGACAGCAGCTAAGTTCTAGAGATAAAATCTAGAAAAGGAGTAAATACCCACTGCAGGCTTTCATGTTTTATGGTGACACCATAGCATGGGGATGTTTGACTGAAAAGGTCACAGGTGGGCTGTGTGATGACTTCAAATCAAACACAGCCACCTTCTCCTGTCCCTGATCTGAGAAGCAGGCTTGGTGTCCTTGGCAGCTACAGGATGACTTTGGGTCATCGTCATTGTTCTGCTGCTGTGGGAGTAAAGATAATCAAATGTGCTCCTTACGCGTCCTGTGCAGGTTATATTCATGGGCTGGGGCAGACATTCAGGATGGCACTGTATGCACTCGGATTTCTCCACAAACTCCCTTGGCCCTCTGAGAGAAGGAAGAAAGGAAATTGATGAATGCCATTTCTTGAGATCCTGCTTCAATATGCTATGTGGTTATGACTGTCTCCATTCATCTGCCTGGTTGCCTTCCTCAGAAATTCAAAACAATAAAGGCCAAATAGCTGGGACTCAGTTGGACTATACTGTAAGATAATAAACTGATTCCATTAATGGAATCCAAATCATGGATATTTAAATTAAACAGGACTAAAATGATAACCGTAGACTAAAGAGAAGGAATATTATACTTGCTCAAATGGTTACTTGTGAAAACAGCAATAGGAAACACAGGTGTGAAAAAATTTTGCTAGTGACATTTTCAACATTCTTCAAAGATGTACCGATCAATGTGAAGCAAGAAGCTGATGTTGGACCAAAAAGACAAAGTGGTTGTGACAGCTGTTAAGAAGAGAGAAATCTGCCTGGTAATTAGCTGCAGGCCTTCACTCCACACAGTGACCAAGGGGTGTTCACATACAGAAAGTGTGCCTCAAGTTCTCCCTTTCAGACAAAGAGAAACAACTCAACCGAGCATCACACATTGACTGTTTCCCTGTGCTTCTTCTCAGGTCACCACGCCGGCTAGTGGGGGCCAGTCTCGAAAAGCGAGCAGGTGTGCTGAACATCAGTATTCTCTACGCTAACTCGAGAGACTCCAGGGCACCTCCGACATGGCTGTCTTAATTATCTTGTCTCTTTAAAAGAGATGTGAACACTTAAAACATAAGTTATTTATAGTGGTTAAGATTGCACCAATATTTTTCATTTGTAAGTTGAAAGAGTTATATCAATTATTCCTTTTTTGTATTAAGTTAATGAACATATCAGCTTAAGGATTCCTACAGATTGAACTTGGTCTTCTCATTCTGCCCTTGAAAAATTCTGGTTCAAAGCTGTAGTCCATGCTCCGATTGTGAAAAAGCATGTAAGATGTCCTACAGGGTCGTCTGTAATTCCTTTCGGCTCTTCTCTATCACAGCATCTCTTTTTCTTTAATATTTTAAAAATTTGCTTTGGCCTCTATCCTTTACTTTTACTCTTGTACTAATTTATTTCTAGTCATTATTTGTGATCATTTGAAGCCTTACATCAGTATCAAGAGTCTCATAGTATTGACAGACCGTACTCATTGACCGTATTCACTGCAACTAAATTCAACAAACATTTATATGATTATTTCTTTGTCCATAAGCATAAAACAAATATTAACCAGGAACTATAATTTCTATTAATGTATTTTGACACACCAGACACAGTGTACTACAAAGACCATGGTCGTGGCATAAGAATCATTTATGATTATTCTATTTGTTTTGGGAACTCTGCAGCTTAAAAAAAATATAACCTACTTCCAGAAAAGTAGGTTCTAGAAGTTAATGGATTTTCAGAATTGAAATGCACAAAGCCTAATTCTACAGAGGATGGTGTTCCTTTCCGCTAAGAGCAGAACAGGAAATGAGCTTATCATGCAGCTGGAAGAATTTTGATTAAAACTCAAACGAGTGTAACAAAGAAGGTAATTTTACATACTTTTGACTTAGCAGGATCCCAATAAGCAAGAATAAAAAAAAGTTTGTTTATTTCCTATGGTGAGTAACAATTTGCTAAAAAAGCGAAAAGAATCAAGCTGAATAACTATAAATCTTCAAACACAATCCTGAGTTTTATTTTTTAATCAAAATGAAAGGATTAAAAGCTACCGTCTTACCCCTCCAGAATGTTGCACTTGTTCACACACTCCCTGCTTCGGCTGAAGTTGCGGCAAGAGACGCAGTCTTTCGGCTCCGGGCCCCAGCAGCCCTCTGATGAGCACAAGGGATGGCAAACGTGGCCTGTGGCCTCTGCGAACACACAATGAGTGCCAGGGTGTCAGGCATGGGCCAGAGATCAGAGTGACCACTGAAGACAACAGACGGATGTTCTGTTCTCTGTGATCCTGAGTTGTGCTCTCAGGGTCTCCAGAAAGAAGTAATGACACAAAATGGGCTCCCTGGGAGGCTGATTGCAAATTCTCTATTTCCCTATTGAGGGTAGCCTAGACTAGACCTGTTCAGTACTTTGTTGACAAATGCCAGGGCTGACGGTATGATGGTAATAATATGTGTTTGGCACCTGTTAAGTGCATTGCATCCAGAACTCCATTTAATTCTCTCCACAGCCTTAGGGCATGGGACGCCTTATTATCTTCATTTTATGGATGAGAAAGCTTAAGTCTAAAGAGATCAAGTAAATTATCAAGGTCTTGGAGCTAGAAAGGGCCAGAGTCAGGATTTGAATTCAGGTCTGCTTCTGCCAGGGGCCAGGGTCTCCTCGCCAGGCTGCAGTGCATTCCCCAGCTTCAAAAGCTGGGTTAGGGCTCTAAAACCAGAACAGGAAATGTTAATGCTAAACGTTAATACCATTCTTGTATGTGTGTGTGCACACGCGTGCGTGTCTTGTGTGTATACACGTCTACAGTCATTAGAGGTTGAAAGGAGCTGGGAGAAACCTAAAGCTAACGTCTAATTTAATTAATAATAAATTTAGTTTGTAAATTGCAAACAATTGGCAGTCTAAGACTGAAGGCATATTCATTCGATGAAATGAGAATGATCTGGAAACAATTCTGATGAACTTCATTCTGATAACTTCACAGTTAGGAACGTATTGATTTCTTTAATTTACTTCTTAAGGAATGAAAGAAATAACTGAAATGCTTGGGAATGGTCCTTCAATATTATAAATAAAAATAAAAGGTCCATTTGAACAATCTCCACAATCAAAAGAGAAGGCCGTTACTTACTGCAGTCCTTCTCGCCTCTGTTGTTTATAATTTTGGTATTCTGTCTTGAAGTCCCAAATAGTTTTTTCCAGTTTATTGTATTTGCATAGCACAGTTTTTGGTTTCCTGAAATGATCACATCTCCATCACTTATCTCCTTGAGAGAGCGTAATCCCAAGGACATTATGTCCAGGCCGACAACCGCAAGAGAAAACTGACCACTACGTTGGTGGGAAGAAAAACAACATGTGAAAAGTAAGGACAACATTCTATCACTAAGAACTTTAATCTGTTTTACCAGAAAGCCTTAGATCCACTACAAACATCTTCCATGGAGTGCAAGTCACACTGCTGAAAGGTATGCATTGCAACCTTTGAAAATGGCGAGAATTTTTTCAGCTCCTCCAGGGACAACCCAGTTCCTTGTTCATTTTAGTACTTAGCACTGCGGCTGAATAAATGCGTCTTGAAAGCCACTGTTTTATTTATGGCACGTTTGTTTTGCCTGGGAATTTAAAACATTTTCTAAGCCCTGAAACATCCAAATAAACTTTAAACATTCAGGTTTGCCTGTCTGTGTATCCATCTGTCCATCCATCCATCCATCCATCCATCCATCCATCCATCCATCCATCCATCCATCCATCTGTCCATATACATGTATTTATTGAACAAACTTTTACTGAGAAAACATGTCTCAAGCTTTATGCAGATTAAGAGCATGTTTCCTGTTCTCAAGGCACTCTCTGTCTCATGGAGATACAACCATATAAACACAAAATTTTAACCCAGTGTGATGAGTACCGAACCAGTTGCTATGGAGTTGTTTCTGACTCCTGGTGACCCCACGTGTGTCAGAGTGGAACTGTGCTCCACAGGGTTTTCCATGGCTGATTTTTTCGGAAGTAGATTTCCAGACCTTTCTTCTGAGGCTTCTCTGGGAGGACTTGAACCACCAGCCTTTGGGTTAACAGCTGAGCACATTAACTGCGTGCACCACCCAGAGACTCCTGTGATGAGTACAGTGATACTGAAATACACAGAGCATCGTAAAGCCTGGTGAGGGATTTCAAAGTTTTCCTCAAAAGGTGGTGTCTAAGATTGTGACAAGAAGCCCTGGTGGAACAATGGTAAAGTGTTCAGCTGCTAACTGGAAGGCTGGCGCTTCAAACCCACCCAGAGGTTCCATAGGAGAAAAGACCTGGTGATCTGCTCCCATAAGGATTACAGCCTAGGAAACCCTATGGGGCAGTTCTACTCTGTCCTATAAAGTCACTATGAGTTGGAATCGACTTGATGGCATATAACACCAAGATTGCGATGACCTTGTTAGCAGGAACTACGATATTTTCTTCACCACTCAACTCTGTACTAGGATTCTACAATGTGCGTGTTAAATGACCAGTGAAAAGCAGATGTAGAAGTTATCCAGACTAAAGGTGAGTCCTGCGGAACCACGAGAGGAGCAGGAGGGAAGAAATCACGTGCTATATGCTGAGAAACACAAGCGACGGGTGGACCATAAACCTGGAGGCAGGAAGGGTGGGAGATGGGTCTGGGGAGAGTGGGAGAGGTCAGAGCACAGAAGGCCTTGTGCACCTACTGGAGGAGTTTGGATAGTTGTCTGCAAATGGTGGCAGACAACAGGAAGGAGATTTGCATTTTTAGGAAGCTCATTTGACACCAGTATGGGGAATGGGAGAGTTGAGACAGGACTCAGTGAAGAGACCGATAATTAAGGGGTTGGATTATAAAGGTTTAACATATAATTTGGAGATTCCTTCTCTCCCCGTTTCTCTCTCTCTTCCAACCATTTCTCCCGTCCTCTCTGCCCCCTTAACCTGGTTCCCGAGAGGGGTGAGGGGCCCAGTGTCGGCGACCTGCAACTACCACCCTGACTTTGGCGGGCAGTGATTCTCTCCCACCAGCAGCACAGGTCTCGTTTTGGGGCCATCACACCTGGAATCAGGTCAGCCTGCCTCAGTAGCTGATGGAGACAGTCTCTCTTATGATGCGAGAACAGGGTCTGCCATCCAGATACACGAGGACCTCCCTGTGGGCCTCCAGTGCTTCCTTGGCATCAATTCACCTTTTCTTTCTCTCATCTTTCAGGAGAATGCACCAAGAACACATTTTTACACGTCCCAAATGCTATCCCATTCTTGTTAACAGACTTTTCCTGGGAGTAAAAAGACATCAACAATAACCCTGCTTTCTTCCAACTTCTTAATGGTGGTTACATTCCACACTTTGACTAATAATAGTAAGTCATAACATGAAACATTAAGCTTTTTACAATGCCCACCTATCAGTCCCCCTTCTGTGGAAAGCTTTGTCCCACCCAGCCCTACCCACAGTTGGGCTTCAGATACATGGGGCTTCTGGTCTCCTTGCGCCTCCCTTTCCTGCCTGGGTTCTTATGCTAATACCATGAGGTGCTCTGCTCCTCAGTCTCTCCCCCTGACCCTTTGCTGAAACTCTAAGCCAGCTTTTTCCCTCCTTTCTTTTCTTGTCCTGGAAGCATTATTGAGCAATTGCCTGATGCATAACCATCCAACACATGCCTGGGAAGTCTCCGGGCCTCTAAGGAACAGCCTGATAATGGTGGAACATCAACAATGAGACTGGTGATTTAAGTGCAAGACACCGTCCAGAGTCCTCTCCATCTCTGCAGGTGGTTCCTCTCTATAATGGCTCACAAGGCTGATAACAAACGCTGACCCTCTTTGGAGGCAGAAGCAATTTCTGAGCATCCCAAAGTGAAGGGTGGTGGGCTAAGTGGCTCATGGTCCAGTCCTGGGCAGGGGTGATGATCCTCCATGAGGGGACAACCCCTCCACAGGAAGAAAGGGGTGTGTCTTTTCCCTTCACACTTCCCCACCTGTCTCATTAGGGAGGTAGGGGGCTGGGATGTGGCGAGTAAGGACCAAGACTTGTCATTAGACTAAGGAGAGGAGGAAACTTGATTGACAAGAGGACAGAGAAAAACAGTACAAGTAGACAAGAGAAATACCTTGGGCAGGAGATTTTTTTAAAACTAGTAAAATAAGTTAACTAGTAAAACTAGGCTGTTGTTGTTAGTTGCCTTCGAGTAGACCCCGAGTCATGGCAACCCCATGTGTGCAGAGTAGAACTTCCCTCCACAGAGTTTTACACTGTGACCTTTTGAAAGCAGATAGCCAGGCCTTACTTCTGAGGTGCCTCTGGGTGGGTGTGAACCACCAACGTCCCAGTTAGTAGTCCAGTGCTCAACCATCTGCACCATCTAGGGACTCCTAAAATTAGGCTAGAGCAGTTTAATCACTTTGGAAGGAACTATGAAAGACGCAGAGAACTGGAATGTGCTTCCTATGAGAATACTGCCGTCGTCCATTTGGCACTGATTGGGGTTCAGGAAGATTCCTGCTATGCCTGAACATGTATTAAAGCAATGTATAGAAAAAAATGCTTGGAATTAACTGGTCAGCGTGTTGAGATTCTCCATGAGTTCCCACTAGAGATGCAATACAACACTGTTGTTTTTTTCTCTCTTGAAAACAGTGACTATGTTTGACTCAAGGCTATTAAGGACATCATTTTGCACAAAAATGCATTTCTGCTGTTCTGCCCCTGGTCTTGCCTCCATGACTCTGTAACCTGGGGATGTTGGCCAGCAAAGGGATATTAGAAGCACCCTGTCAACTAGCGGCACACGGATGCAGGTTACTTACACACGCTCACCCAGTACACCCCTGGAGACATAGCCCTCCCCAATCATTTTAAGAGTGAGTGTGGAGGGCTTATGGAGAAGCTAAGTAACCCCAAGAGCAGACCTGTCTTACCCTCACTTCAGGCACATGCCTGTTTCTTCCCTTCCCTTCTCTCCCTTCCCCTTCCCTGCCTCCTCTTCCTTTGCTTTCCTTATTTTTTTGTGATAAAATACATTTAAAGTACACGCCCCAGTTCTGGTGAAGAGGAGTGGCCCCGTGACATGGTTTAAGACAATAAGGTGTAGGTGGAGTTTCTGGGTGGTGAACAAGGATGTGGACTCAGCTGCATGTCTCCCACTGCTCTTTGTCCATTCTTCCTTCACATGCCTGGAACATGGACACAATGGCTGGCACTACAGCAGCCTTCTTGGGAGTATGAGGTTGAAGGCCATGCCCTAAAAATGGTAGAGCAGTTGGCTAGGAACCTGACAATATCATGGAGCCCTAGATTGTGTATCACTGGACTTCTCATTTTAAAAAGAAAAATAACGCATATCCTGTTGATATCCTTAAAACTAAGCACGGTGGAACGTGTTACCAGTCATCCAAGAAAACTGGTCTAAATCTCTTATCACTGTGTGACTCTTGGGCAAAGAAAGTATTCTTGAGAATTCAGAGCAAAGGTGGATTTCTGGGAAGTATCATTAGCTGTATGTTTAGTATCAGAGATGCATAGCCAAGACACATTTTGGAAAGCAATGTATATTTTATATAATCAGTATTCTAACAAATGAAGAAATAAAAAACCAGCCAAGCTTCAGCTGTTGTCAACTTACTGTTGCTTTGTTCTGCCACGTATGATTTCTAGGTTCTCAAAAGCATGGAGGTCAGTCTTGTTTGCAGGCCATGCCTGAATTAGCAAAAACCCTATAAAGCAGAAGGAAGGCTCAGACATATGCCACTTCCACATTCCTTTTTTGTATGTGACATTATTTTAGGATTCTCACAGACTATAATAAGAGCAGTAAATATGAAAACTTGAGATTTGATTCTTTTTATCATCTCGATTGAAAATATACACACACATGCATGTACAACCCACAGCAAAACTTTATAACAGGCATGCTGCTTCTTCCATGGAATTACACATCCCTTGTTATCGCTCTCCTAAAGCCTACCCCCGACCCAACAGGCTGTCCCCATTATGCTGCAGCCCTGAGACCCTTTCTGGGCTCCACACTTGACTACGCCAAACAGGCTCCTCCTCCCAGTTATAACTACCATTTATTGAACTGTTATCACATATATGGAATTTTACATGTTTTCCTTATATAAATCTGATGCTCGAAACAACCTTGCTATTTAGGTCTAATTATTCCCTTTTTGGAGATGAAGAAAATGGAGCTCGGATGCTAGTCACTAACCAATATCCTGTCAAGGGCCAAGAAAGTATTTGACATCTGGTCTACAAGACTTGAGGGCCCACACTGTTTCCTCACCTTCTTATCTACCCTCTACCCATTAAAGTATGTATCCATCAAGATGGCCTGAGCTGGGAAGAATGAGGGGCTAAACACGTTCACATGAAGTCCTGACCGACTTGAGTCTTGGCTTAATGTTAGTGTTTTCTGTGCAAGGGAAATTGCATTTTTTAGAAATATCAAAGAGCTAGTCATTAATGGAAGGATTTCAGAAGGAATGTTTGTATGTTAAGGGAGAAGCAAAGACATCAAAAAATTCTCCATATAAAATACTGATTTCCCACTTAGATTCATATGACAGTACAAACCTGTTATTTCTTTTACGGTTTTTAGAATATCCAGTTCCTTTGGATCTAGAGGTGGAGTGCGTGTGAAGGAGTCACTGAAACAAATAACAGAATGATTATTAACTATCAGGACCAGTTAAAAAAGCAGATTTCTTTTTTTCTCTCTATACAAGTAATTTCATCTGTTACTTACCCCTTAAATGCTACTGGGAGGATATGAAGGTCTCCACTAATAGAGGTGCAATTTTTGAAGTGTTTAATATTTGTAGCATTTATGGAAAGTGTGTCCTTAAACTCACCAGTTCCAATTCCATTACAAACTGTTAAGACAAGAGAGATGTTTATTGCATTCACATTTGTTGAATTAAGAATAACTAGGTTGGTGGTTCGAGCCCACCCACAGGCACCTTGGAAGAAAGGCTTGGTGATCCACTTTAGAAAAATCAGCCACTGAAATCCCTATGGAGCACAGCTCTACTCTGACACACATGGGGTCTCCACGAGTTGGAATTAACTGTAACTGGTTTTTGGAGTGTTCAACAGCGGGAAGGGAATTCTGGCAGTGAGGACTCTCCACCATGTCATCATTCATTCATTCCTTCACTCATTCAGCAAACACTCTGAAGGCCCACCGGGGACCAGGTACTTGGTAGGCTTTGGGGTTACAACGGTGATAGAAAGGAGACACTGTCACTGACTGTGTGGACTTGCATTCTCTTCCTCCCTATTTCTCACTTGGGCTATGGAATAGTTTCCTTCCTCTAGTTTGTCTCCATGATGCCACACTCCTCCTACAGTTGTCACTGCTGCTTCTGAGCACAGCTGTAAACAGAGTCCTCCGCAGAATCCAACTTCAATACCTTTCCATTGACCCAACTTGGTTCTGCAGCTTTGTCTTCTATTTTAAAAAAACGATACACAGATTTTTTTTTTTGATTACATGTTTAAGGTGATGGTTGAATAACATGTTGAACATAATTAATGCCACTAAACTGTACGTCTGAAGAACGTTGAAATGACACGTTTTGTTACATATACATTTACCACAATAAATAAAAGGTTAGATGTATTCATTTAAGAAAACGTTGAAAACACAGAAGATGAATAAGAAGGGAAAAATAACCAGAAATTCCTGTACCTACATTTAATATCTTGGAAAATTTCCTTCCAGTTCCTCTCTATGACTATATGGCACCAGATATTTAAGTTGATATATATATTTTTTCATGTATTATGCTGTGAACCTTTCTCATATCATTAAAACCATTCACAAACATGGTTTTTAATGGCTGTCTAATGTTACATCGTAGCAAACACTATAATAATTTTTACCACGTTGTTAACTGCCTTTCTTCCACTATGTTTACCCGTGTTTCATGCTACTTCTGTCTGGAATGCCCCTTTCCATATATGTGTCCTGAGGCCATTTATTAATTCATATCCACTCCTGAATTCCCATCTAAATCCCATCTCCATCATGAAACTTATCCGCCTGTTACAGTGCTCCCTTCTGGATACAAGTAGCAATGTTTGCTACCACATGGAACCTTACAGCACTTGACGTCTAAGCATGATCACTGAAAATCTAATTGTATCCCCAAAGCAGACTGCAAGCTGCTCCTTACCCTCTTCCTTTAGGGATGGGACCCTCCCCAATCCCCAGGCCTTCCCGAGGATGCCCTGCTTCTCCACTACCTCCCTCTGCACTCCACTCTCCATCAGGAGTCCACTTGCTACATGCAAAGAGACCTCCTGATGCCAACTCTCTGCTGCCGAATCCATTTTGCCTGCCGATGCTGGATCTTCATGCGCCTCCTGCCTTGTCCCTGTGGGCTGGCCTCAGCTCTTGTTCTAAGCAGGGGCTCTAATGAGGTCTGTCTTGAATGGCTCACTTGACCCTTCTATATTGCTGCATCTAATCCACTATTGGTTGTGAAATTCAGTAACCAGGCTTGTTTAGAATTCAAAGGATCTGACTGATAACCCAGAATCAGGTGGTTGAAAAACTAAAGAAGGTAGTTTCTCTGTATGATACTGTAGTGGTGGATACACTGCATTAAGCATTTGTCAAACCCATGGGACTGGACAAAACAAAGAGCGAACCCTAAGGTAAACTATGGACTTCAGTTAAAAATAATGTATCAATATTAATATACATTCATATACAATAATGGTTCATCGATTGTAACAAATTTACCATACCAAGGCAAAACCCAAAAAAACCAAACCCATTGCTGTCGAGCTGATTCCGACTCATAGCAACCCTACAGGACAGGGTAGAACTGCCCCATAGGGTTTCCAAGAAGCAGCTGGTGGATTCGAACTACTGACATTTTAGTTAGCAGCCAAGCTTTTAACCACTGTGCCACCAGGGCTCCTACACCAAGGCAAGATGTTAACAATAGGAGAAACTGTGTGTAAGGAGGAGAGGGGTATATGGGAATTCTGTACTTTCTGCTCTATTTTTCTGTAAACTTAATACAGCTCTAAAAAAAAGTCTATTAAAATAAAAAAATCAATGCCATGAAAGAACTTAAAAAAAAAAAAAAAAAAAAAAAAGTGGAGGGACTGGGGAGCTGAGAAACTCTTCCTAATTAAAGAAGATTACAGAGACACGATATCTAAATGAAGCCCATGACCCTTCATGGGATTCAAGATTGAGAAAAAGAGAAGCAACTACAAATGACTTTTTGGAACATTAAGGGGCAATTAGAATTAAACTGAATATTAGGAAACTGTACTGAATCAATATTAAATATCTGAGTGTGAAATTGTCCTTGGTTATATGGAAGAATATTTGTGTTTACAGGAAACGTATCCTGACATATTTAGGGGCAAAGTGTTATAATATCTGCTACTAACAGTCACACGATTCAGTAAAAAAAAACCACACACACATAGGCATATACACACACACAAATCCAAATACGGAGAGAGCGAAAGCTACATGGCAAAAATTTTCAAAATAAAAGTAGGTGACAATTGGCATTAAAGATACTCTAAGTATAGCATATGATATATAAAGAAAAGAACAACTATCAGAAGATGAAGAAAGAGATTTATTCAAAGCTCTTTTAAGTGTGATGCTGAGGTGCCTGGAGAGGGGGGTGAAATAATGCAGTCCCACTACCAGAGGAAGAGCCCAGATTACTTCCTACCTTTACGACAAGGCCCCTCACACTTTTTACACTTGCGGACTCCATCCTCCTCCATCTCGTAGCTGTCAGAACCGCAGGACCGGACACATGACCCATGGTCTGTCACCACATAGTTATCTGAGGACGAGACACGAAAGGCAGGTGGTGAAAGGGGCACCAGGTGTTCGTGGGTCTCACACAAATGTTCTCACGTCCCACTACAAAGGGGCTGATGAAAAGGACCCATAATCCTTTGGCTTGAAGACAAAGAATGAAAGGTTGGCAACAGAAAAGGAATCAAGTCAAGAGTCTAACAGCACTCTAGACTGTAATATGGAGAAATAGAGATATTTCATCATGGGCAGGAAACAACAGTGTTAGGGAGAAAACACCATGTGTGTGCAGAGCTGAAAGCCCCTATGTGAAGCTCTTTCTTTTTCTTCCTGTAGGTTCTATCTGCAGCACTTACAGTCAAAGCTTGGGTATTTATTAAAATGTGACCCTAAACAAAGACCACTCTTCCGCTGAAGCTGCTGTGGTTGAGGTTACATTTCATTCTTGTGGAAGACATTTAATTTTCCCTTTGTGGGTGTCTTTCAGATCTGGAAGTGCTTCATTAGTGGGGTACTGGAAGGACCAAGGGGTTCTCCTTTTTCCTGCCTCCTTTATCCATAGAGAAATTTATTTGTATTAACTTCCATTTTATTTTTTAGCAACTCTTTGTGTCCCTGTTTTGAGTTCTCCAACTAGATCCTCAAACATATTTACTAGACATTTGTCATTTTTCTTCTGTGAATTGTCTGCTTTTGTTTTCTTCAAAAACCATTCTTCTTTTTGTTCTCTATTAGGCTCTTGGAGTTTTCTTGGGGATTTTTAAGCTCTCTCTATCAAGCAGTATCTTAAAGATTATATCTTTGTTATACATTGTGGCAAATTTTTCTTTACCCTAGTTTCTCATTTATCTCATATCGGCTTTTTATTGTATTTAATTATTATTTTTTTCTGTACAGATTTTAATTTTTTTCAGGTACACAAATTTGGTAGGGCAAATCTCCCCCTCATAATTGTTCTCTTAAGAATTTTTCTTAGCTAATCTCACCTTTTAGATATCAAGATTGGTTTCTAAAGCCCTTTAATTAACCAACGCTATACTTTTTCTATTAGGAAATTTATGTCACCATTTTCTTAAACCCTACAGCCACCACTAGAATGCAAAAATAAACCATCAAAATCCAAACCAAAACAAAAACAAAAAGTTTTGCAATATGCCTGAGAGGTCTAACTTTCATCAGAAATTTAAGCACTAAAGAAGGCACACTCTCTAATATGACATACTCTCTAATCTAGTGGAGTGTCCTATTCAATAAATGTTTTGTCACAAGAGCTAAACAGTGAAATGGGCCAGTGGACTATGGCTTGCTGCCAATCAGACAAGTGAACACTCTGGGCCACTACAGTGGGCCCTCAGCATCCAGGGGGCCGAGCAGCAGGCGTCCTTCCTCTGGTTCCCAGCCTGGTTTCCATAGCACGAGTTCCCACAAGGACCCCCCCTTACGAGGGGGGCAGTACAGACCTCAGTGAGCAGTACTTCCTGTTCAGCATGTCACTGTGCTTTTCAGCAGGGACCTGGCCCTTCACTGCAGCACTCGATAGCATGCTCTTACCCACCTAACCAAGAGGCAAACACACCAACCTCCCACGTAAAAGGCACAAAGACAGCCCGAGACAGGGGTACTCAAGGGTTCCACGTAGGAGACACGATAGGAAACTGATACTTGATACATCAAAAGGTTTTATATGAGTGGAACTCACGTGGGCACTTCTTCACACATGTGGCGCCAAAGCTGTATTTTCCCTCTGGGTTAACATCCATCTGGTACGTGGTGGGGTTGTAGAGCATTAGTGGCGGACAGGTGTCCTTGCACGTGGCTTCATCTCGAAACTTGCGGCAGATCTGTGATAGGAAGGATGGCAAGCCAGCAGGGTCAGACTAGGCAAGGACACTTGGTGCCCAAAATGGATGAAGCACAGCGCTACTGCTGATTCCTTCCGTGAAGCTCCTGATACAGATCTTAACGTTCAGGTGTCAGTGAGAGCGGAAACATCTAGGAAAGTTCTTTCAGTAGAGTCAGAAAGATCTTTCTCTTGTATGTACATAGTTTTTCTTAAAATACTGTCCTATCTCTGACAATTTATGATTCTGATCAGAGAAAACACTAGTATCTTCTCTATTAATTTACAAAATTATGAGAGTTCACACATGGCAGCAGTACTCATGGAGTAAAATGACTTTTAAACACAATTTACACTGGGTTTCCCTTATAAAGAACACTTAAGGATAGATTTTAAACTTATTGCCAAACTGCAGATGTCTTAACTAGGAAGGGTGTCATGCAAACAGCAAGGCCAAATACAGTGCTGTTCTTACAAAGCATCTCACGCACACTCTTTTCCTTGGAGCTGTACATTAGAATCAGCCCTGTCTTTCCTGGCTTCAGGATTTAGAGGCTTCCTGTGGGATAAGCCATGCCAATCTGGTGGGTTAAAGCTTAAGGTGGGTTTCCTTTTCTGGAAAGGGGGCCCCACTACAGTTGGGGAGCACCCTGTGATCTTGGTGCTCCCTCCAGTATTCCTATCTTTTATATCTGCTATTGCTAGGACTTCCAAGCTGCTCCCCACCTGCAGGGCACCTAAATGAGGTGCTCAAAGCCTAGTATGGGCAACTGAGGCTTCACATTACAGTTTTTTCCACTAATAGGGACAAAAGTGCATACTTTGAGACCCCATAGGAGGATGTATCTCAGGAGTATCTCCTAAGGTGATGGAAAGAGCAGAGGGATTAGGGTCAAAAAATCCAAATTGAGTCCCAGCCATGCCATTCAAATCTGTGTGGCTCTGAACTGGTCTCTTAACATCTCTGTATATACTTTAGGAGACATTACAGTATCAACTCTCCAGATTTGTAATGGGAACTATGGGAAACAATAAATATCATGACCGTGATAGTGACGGTGGGGGTGGTGGCAACAATAAATATTAACGACCATAAACACGTACTTAGTGCTCATCCTATGCCCAGGTCCTGGATATGGACATGCATTATGCCACTTAGATCACATAAAAAACAGATACTTTATAACACCCAATTGTCAGATGAGGAAACTGAGGCACAGAGAGGTTATATAATTTGCTGAAGGTTGCATAGTAAGTGATGGAAGCAAGATAATCAAATAAACTTTGTTACCTGGCAAAATATCTATCTACATCTGCTATTAAGTATGCTCATCATTGAATTTCTCCCACAGGAAGCTCTTTAAATCTTGGGGCCAGAAAAGCCCACCACAGTGCTTTTTGGTTGGGGTGGGGGTGCAATGTATAATGACTGCAGGGCCTGACACACAAGGGCTAAACAGAGCTCCGTCTCACCAGGCAGTCACTCTCTCGGGGTCCCGTGCAGCCAGCGGCACACTGGTTGTGGCAGCAGTCACTGGGCGACTTGCCTCGGCAGCGTCCAGAACACTGCTGGGCACAGATGGTTTTGGTCACTGAAAAAGAGCAAAGATCACCCATGAGCTGAAGAGCACGTGGAGGACGGAGGGATCATTTCCCAGGGGTGTCACAGAGCACTTGCAAACAGTAAACGAAAAGGTGAAAAAAGGATGGATTGAGCGATTCTGGGGCTTGTTCCCCAATATTCACATTTGGCCAGATGAAATCAAACCATCATCCTTCTTTATTATACCTTTTGTTCTTATTTCTTTTTAGTCACTTGGGAGAGTAAACCAGATCAAGTCTAGACTTTTAGACCAGCTAGATAATTAGAGACTAGTTGGAACTGAGTGTTTTGGGTAATAAGGAAAGTACATACAAATAACAAAAGGCCCTGACAAGAAGTAGTGCTTAAGAGGACTTAACAGCCATGTTACAATGAAACTTAAGGACAGAAGGACAGACAGTCTTTAAGCTTACATGTCCCTGGATTCCATGGTCACTGAGAGTGTAGAGCCAGACAACCACACACATATCAGCTAATCTGTCTATCCTTAAGTAAGATGCCCCCAGAAAAACCCCTCTTGCTAAACACTGTTCATGCTTCTATGTAAGTGACTACCAATGAGAGAGAGAGAAAAAACAAGAAGTCTGGTGACTCATGTAGACTAGAGCCATCTTTCATTCCCAGGAACATCTCCCAAACATATAGTTTAGAAGGGGATGACTAGTAGATGAGGTGGCTGGCTTTCACTTATTTATGACAGTCTGAAGTGCCAAAAATAGCCTGCCCTGGCTGGACGGCATGCAGGGAGATTTGCGAGAATGTCACTCACATAACTGCTGACATCTGTCCTATAGGCAAGGGTGCTTTGTGGAGTCTTCGAAGAACAAACACAATCACTAAGTAGAAGTGGAAAGGTGGCCACATGTTTCTCTGAAATTCTCCTCACAGACTTACATTTCTGGCAGTTTTCCTTTCCTGCACCCCAGCAGCTTCCATTGGGACAGCTTGGATCACATTTTTGGCCTAAAATATAAAATAGTTAAGTTCATTTCTCAGTGAAAGGGAACCAATGAAGAGACACTGATGGACCCATTCCCAACTGTGTGTGCAAACTAACATTCTAGAAACAAAGAATGGTTTCCAACGTTCTTATTCTCTGTTTGTCTGTTCAGCGGCTAAGCTGGTTGGTTGGCTGGTTGGTTTATAAGATGATTAAAAAGATGTCCATGAGAAAAAAAAATAATAATGAGACATGTACTTTTATTTACGTTTCAGATGTAGAAACTGAGGCTAAAAGAAATTGTTGACTTGTCACAGGCTATATAAACTGGGATTTAAATTTCGTTTGGGCTTGGTGAATTTTCCAGTGTCTCCCACAGCAACGTTCAAGGTGTCAGGTATGGTTGGGTCTTTGGTATACAACCACTACATTCTTGCTATGTCCAGTCTTGGCTGACTGGGTGAACTAGTCATCTTGGCGTGACTGGAGTCTGAAGATAAATCTTAGCCTGATGACAATCTTTGTAAATGAAAACTCCTGGACTCCAAACCAGAGATAGGCACAGAACAGCTTGCATAGGGTGAAAGTATTGACAGTGTGTACCATTTTGTTGATTATGTAAAACCTCAGCTATTAATTTGCAAGCTGGAAATTTGTCTGAAAATTAACTGATCAATTAACTTTTGCAGTTTTTATAATTGATCAATTACAAAGTATAGCATCTAAGGTTTGTAATCTCATTTTATCTGCATTGAGAACTCTGAAGGCCAAAGTGCTATACCTATATGGAACAGGCTGACTATCAAATTTGTTAAACAGGAATCAGTCTATCCAGATATCTTTTACTGTGAAGACACAGTAACCTAATGGAGTTAATCGTTATCCCGAAGTCTCCCGCAGTCAGGGAGAATTTAGATTTCAAACAGAAGAGCTGACAGTTTGCCAAATGACTGTTGAACCAACCAGGACACCCTCTAATCTGTCTGATAAATTCTGCAGTCACCACCAGGAGTGAAGGAAGTTAATGCAATGACTGGCTCTCCTTGGAGTCATGGAAGACAGGGAATGGCTCCAGCAAGTGGATGGTGTGACTTTATATTGTGAAGAGAGGTGTGGAAAGAGAGAGAGGGCAAGAGCTGGAGAGACAGAGACAGATGAGAGACAGAGAGAATGAGAGAGAGAAAGAACCTAAGCAATATATATAAAAATGTTACAAGAGGTTGTCTCTGTGTAATGAAATTATGAGTTATTTTTACTTTTTACCCTATACATTTCTGTATTTTTCCAATTTCTGCTTTATGTATGTAATAGATGTATAAATCAAAAATATATTTTAAATAATAACCATTAATGGCATCTTTCTGTAACAGGGGAAAACATTTGCCAACCACTGAATTCAAGTTCTGTCTATAACTCTATTGTTAACCCCTTATGACAAAAAAGAAATTCAGACACATAATATAAAATATGGATAATAGAAAAAAAACCCACAAGGAAGAAAATGTGAATCATCCCATGGTAATCAATATAGGTATATAAGTATACTTATATATTAGAACTGGTATCACACTACACATTCTTTTATAACCTTACCAAAAAAAAAAAAAACAACAAAAAACCAAAAAACCAAAACCAAGAACCTAATAAAATGCTGTGACAAATTTTTTGTGCCTTTAAATATTCTTCTCCTAACATGATTTTTAATGGTATGGCTGTACCACAGTCTCTTTAACAAATCTCTTATTTTTAGACATATAATTTGTTTCTGATATTTTTATAAATAAGGCTGCAATAAATATTCTCGTAAAAAAATGTTTTTCTCCCTCTCATGATTCCAATTGCCCTATTATTTCCTTCCCTATTATTCCTAGAAGTGGAATTCATAGGTCAAGGGTGTGCCTGCGTTAAGGCCTTCGAAGCATATTGCCAAAATTTATACGCCCACAAGCAGAATATGAGAATAGCTGTTTCTCTACGCCCTTGCTGACCCAAGTGTCTAGATATCAAAAGGAACTCAAATCTTTGGCAAAGGCAAAAATAATGTCCTCTTATTTCGCCCTTCTTTTTATTACAGCAAGAAATAACATTTTATTTCTTGGCCATCTTACTGTATGAGTGTGTGTGTGGCCTGCTGATCTCCTTAGCTCATTTTTTTATTGGAAGGTTCCTCTTTTTCTTAGGACTTCAAAGACTACTTTATACGGCTTTATAAGGAATGATATTAACCCTTTTCATGGCAATTGGATATTATACAGTATTTTCCTATTTGTATTAACTTTTTTTCACATAGAAGTTTCCTAACTTTGTTTTTCTTCAACTTGATGTTGTAAATATTTTTATGTATCTTTCTAGCACTTAAATGGAGCCCTCGTGGTGCAGTGGTTAAGAGTCAGGCTGCTAACCAAAAGGTTGGCAGTCCGAATTTCAGTATTTTGTTAAATATATTTAATATGTTTTTGGAATTTATACTGGTATATGGAATGAGTGATGAATTTAATTTCCTCTCAAGTAAACCCATGTATACTAACTTAAAATCCCAAGTTATAGCAATAATCAAGTAATGCTAGAGCACATTGTATAACCTTCCTGAATCTCAGATCCTGTTCCTTAAAACAGTTAAATGATCTCATAGGATTTTTTGACTAAATGAGACAAGTTACTAAGAAGCACTGTGGGGCCTGCAGTGCTCTAGGCAATGGCATGGCATTTCTCTTTCCACAAGGAGGGTGGTGGGCTTCTGAACTTGCCACTGCCACGGAAGTCATGAGGAAAATATAGGTGGATGGTGGTTTTCTACCTTCCCATATGACTAACCTAAAAAAAAAAAAAATCCTTTATGGTTTTTCACACTGATTTTTTCACCAATCATTTAACCGCTGGGAATGACTTACTGAATAATGCATTCTTTCCTTCTTTGTTCGAGATGTCAAACTTCTTTATGGACATTTTGACTTAGTTAGGCTGATCTGCTTGTCTGTTCTTAAATAGTACTGAACTGCTTTCTATTTCATAGCTTTGTATATTTGAATCTTGTTTACTGCATGAACTTGTCCATCATTCTTCCTTTCCAACCTTTTTTCGGAGGGTCTTTTTCCAGGTTATTGGTATTGAGTGTAGGAGAGCCATTTTGGGCCACTTATCTGATCATATATTTGGCTGGGAAACAAGCCTTGAGCCCAGCCACTCGTTAACACCCAGTAGATTCCAACTCAGGACAACCCCAGGTGTGTCCGTGTAGAACCGTGCTCCCTAGAGTTTTCAATGGCTGCGTTTTCAGAAGTAGTTTGCGAGGCCTTTCTTCTGAGGTGCCTCTGGGTGACTCGGACTTCTAACTTTTCAGTTAGCAGCTGAGTATGTTAACCATTTGCACCACTAGATCTGATCTGTGGCTAACAGGGATTTTCCTCAGAGCCTTTCCATGACTGTCAATTTTTTTGTTATAAATGTGCACAACTTAACTTCCTCATTATCTATTAGACAGCTGAGGAAATCCACTTTCATCTCATGGATAATATAAAACATAACAGTTTAAAATACAGCTTTTAGCTTCTTGCAAGGAGTAGATGGGTACCTGGTATTTTCTTGCAAACACACTGGGTACCTAGCAGAATAAAATATTTACAGAACAAAGGGGCTCTAGTTGATGATTATGAAAATCCATGTCAGATCCATCCAAATTCTTTGAGACCAAAAAACAAATATGCACCCATTGTAGAGTTGTGCAAACAAGGGAGGAGTGGCAAGCACTTTTTATTGGGAAGTATTGAAAGACCACAAAGACCCAGAGGTGCTTGGTAAGCATAAGCCACCCAGCGCTGGCAATGGGACAAGTACTTCAACCTTAACCTACTGCCTTGTCCCCTGCCAGTGCTCTCCCTCGCATGAGCTGCCTTACTGACAAATGGAGCAGGGAGGAGGTCATAAACACTAAGGGAAGTAGGACAAGCTCGCTCCCTGCACTGTGTCCAGTTTTGCCGGAGGCTCTGAGTAAGAGTGTCAACACCCATCCTTGGGAGGGCAGAGTTCAGCCCCAGGTTTCCGGTCACTTTGGCATTTGGCCTGAAAACCAAACCAAACCTGTTGACGCTGAGTCGATTTCGACTCACAGCGACCCTATAGGACAGGGCAGAACTGCCCCATAGGGTTTGTTTGCAAGGCTATAATCTTTACAGAAGCAGGCTGTCACATCTTTCTCCCGTGGAGCAGCTGGTGGGTTTGAACTGCTGACCTTCTGGTTAGCAGCTGAATGCTTTAACCACTGCACCACCAGGGCTCCTTTTGGGACTTGGCAGCAAGTAAGAAACACAGAAAAGTCTGCCCAAGATCCACAAAACAGGATAGGAAAAGCCCCCAGGGCCAGGACTGACAGGAGACCCTTGTGCCTTGCCCTAATCCCAGTAGGCTCTTCTCAATGGGCACATGAGGGCTTAGTGGCCCATGGGGGTGACTTAACCTGCCAGCAAAGCAGGCTAACTTTTACCACGAAAAACAGACTTTACCTCTGTCTTAAATAAACCCTCCTCTAGTTGGCAAATAATTTATTTACTGCTTATGAGACTAACACAGTTCTTGAATGGCGCAAATGGTTAATGCGCTCAGATGTTAACTGAAAGACTGGAGGTTCACATTTACCCACAGACACCTTGGAAGAAAGGCCTGGAGATCTACGTCAGAAAAATGAGCCACTAAAAATCCTATGGAGCACAGTTCTTCTCTGACACACTTGGGGTTGCCATGAGTTGGAGTCAACTCAACAACTTGGAAAGACTAATGAGACTTAAAAAAGATGTTTAAACACACCTTCTTTACTCCTACCCCACCCTCATGTTCTACAGTTCAAGCCCCCATAGGCATTGGGGGCAGAGAGAGAGTTTGGGGAATACTCACAGCTGGCCAGACTGCTGTGAAAGTCCACTGACATATTGCTGATAAAATCACTGTCGACAATGTCTCTCCACTGGATGGTTTCTATGCTGCAGAGGACAGGGTTGTTGCTGAATCTCACGGCACCACTCAGGATTTCTGCAGGAGAAAGGAGCCACAGTCAGGACAGATGGCCACGACTTCCCATTGCCTTTAAATGATTATGATGCTTGTATGCACGTCTTTATGCTTTACATTCTGCTAAAAAAGGCGCTAGGGTATAAGCAAGGGTCCCGACGATTAGTCCCAGGAGAGTTTCAGTGGGGGACAGAGGAGGAAACACCAATGACAGTGCCACCATTGAGGAATCAGGATTTTTCGTGAGTCGGGCCTTGAAAAGTGATTAGAACTTAGGAATCTGGAGACGAGAGGGAAGAGTGTTTCAGGCAGGGGCACAGCATCAATTATGGAGGGGACAGTAAGTGAGTAATCCCGGGAAGCAGACCTGGCAGGAGGAACCACAGTGGGGAGGAGTGAGGGTGGGGAGAGCAGAAGCGCTTTGGCTCCAAATTCTTGGGGAAGGTGGTGAGCATTAACCCAGGATGCTCAGGGGTGTCTGTGGAGGATTTTCAGTAGGGAAAAGGGGTGAAACTAATACCGAAAAAGAGAATCTGGTAAGTATAGGAGAACAAATGGGGGGAACCAGGGACAAGAGCACTGCCAGTGACTGGTCTTGAGTCATGTGGAGCTGGTTCCATGTGGCAAAGGGGAAAAAGAGGAAGTAAAAGACTTGACAGTTATTTCAAAGGAAGAAGTGATAGGACATAAAAAGTCTGAGATGATAAAGAGCTCAAGCCTGGGCAATGGGACAGCTGCATCAGTGACAAAGTCAGCTGAACATAAGCGCCTGTTGGAGGACCTAGATGTGCAAAACGCTGTCGCTCTGGCTGGCAAGTGTACACAGATGAATTAAACTTGTTGCCTTTTCTCTGCCACACATGGGGGAAGACAGACATGCCATGCAATGGAACAACCTCATGCCCACGGAAGACCAGGACACACGGTAGGATGATAGGCTGGCCCTCCATGGGCTGGGTATTGTTTCAATTGATTCGTAAGTTTTATTTAGTTACACCTTACAGTAAGCCAATGACTAAATATAGAAGCATCAATCTCAGATACATTAGATAATGCCTAGCATCCCACAGGCAGGGGATGGATGCAAACTAAGTACCAACGTGAAGAGGGAAGGATTCTCCCTGGGAAGATGTGCTAGGGTGTTGGAAAGAAGTGAGATTTCCCAGGCTGTTGACAGGCACACAATTGAGAACAATGAAGTAAGGGCAATGCAGGAAGACAGAGGCCCGGAGCACAGGCACAGATGGTCGAGAGAGAGGATGGGTTACCCCGTGGTGGGTGGAGAATAAAGGAAGAGTGGGAGGATGGCGTGGAGGTCAGAAAGCGTCAAACTGTGGGGCTCTGGATGCCGGATTAGAGAAGGGATGTAAAGGCAGCAACGAGAGCCAGGTGATCGAGTGAAAACATTAACTAGGGAGCCAGAGACAAGCCCATGCAACGCTGATGAGAGGTCAGACTGGGCTCCAAGAATAGGGATGTCAAGACAATTAGGAGAACAGTCAGAGGGCCAAGAAAGAAAGCTTAGGGATGGAAGAATCCAAAGATGGAGCCTTACGCAACATCTACAGTTAGCTATGTGAGTAGGTAGGGGGGAGTCAAGGTGAAGGGGGTTCAGCTGCCACCTCCTGCTTAGTTCAGGAGACAGAAAAGTTGTCATTTTTACTTTCAACATTGCATGAATGTTTACTGTGTGGCAGGCACTGGGGTAGTTAATTACTAATAGAACTATATTAAATTATCAGGATTTATAAAACCCCAGCCTAGGACAGTAGCAAAACAATAGAAATAGCTTCTAAATGCTTTACCTATATGAAGTCAGTCCATTTTCTCCACAGTCCAGGAGGCAAGTTGCCATTATTATCCCCATTTTTGAGGATGTGGAAACTGAAACACGAGGTTAAATAACCCGTTCCAGGGCCAACTGGCTGGTAAGCAATGGAGCCAGGGCTGGAACCCAGACAGTGTGGCTCCAAAATCCACGCTCTTAACCACACACTGCCTCTCATTATGATAGAGTCGTGAGGCAAGACAGGCAGAGAGGGGCAGACTGAATACATATAATAGACCAGCACACCAAAACGCACATATAACACAAATTAGTATTAGCATAAACCCAAAAAACGTGTGCGTGGGTGCCCCGAGCAGTTAAAGTAGCCAGTGAGGATTCCAGAGGAAATTCTGTAGAACGGCAAAAGCAAGGAGCCAACCCAGAGGGGTGTGCCTGGCTAGTTCCAGTCTCGTCTTTGGATGTAGGGCCCAGATCTCAGCCTGTGAGCCCCCTCGCACTTCTGAATACAAATGCTTCCGCTACATAGCCTCTCCTTGAATCAGGCCTACATGGCACAAGGAAAGGGTGAGGACTCGGGGGCAGAGATTTGGTGCCATCCCCGGACTTCCTGTTTCCTGGTTTGGATTTTGAAACTACCACAAATGTGGGTTGTTCTTTAATGTATGTCCCTAATACCTGAGAGCCAGTAATAAGGCTGGCAGTTATTCACTCTCTAAGCATGAAAACTTCCCATTCTAGTCCAGGCCATCTGGCCATATTTTCTATTTCTGAGCCTTTGTCATTTCTTACTAACTCCCTGAATACTTTTCCGTGCCCCTGGAAGAGTTGGGACCTGGCTTAAACCTTCCATTCCTACCCTACCGTCTTTCATCATCTTAGTAACTTCAACCTGCTTGTATCTTGCACACTGCTGGCTCTCAAAACATATAGATTTGATGAATAAAACTCTTCTCTGAGGTGGGATAAAGAAATGCAAGAAGTTCACAGGAAGAAGGGTGTGAGTTTCATCAGAACCACATCTACAATCTCCCTATTCCCCAGCCACTCACCCTGTAAGTTTCTCATGGGCAGCTCCCTCACTCCAGTTTTATTTGTACCGTAGTTGGATAAGACGGCCAAGGCATAGGTGTTTTCATAGAGTAAATTTCCTCTGATGATCTGCAGGTTTTCCAAGGGAATCCTCTCCACTGTGTTGAGGGCAATGAGTACATAGCCGGCAACCTCCTGGATGGTCTAAGAGATAAAATGTCAACTTGTTACTTTGACAGATTCAAGAATACGAAGATTAAAGTGGGTCCAGAGAGGCCCAGGACACCTGACTGAAATGTAATGCACACAAGTGGCTAAAAATATAAAGCGTGCAGATGATTGAAACTGGGGGAAGGCAGATGACAGGTTTTACAATTATTTCGGCACTTTTGTCTTGGAGTCCACTGGCATTCATAAAGGATAATGGATATTATTTAGAAATGCGGTGACTGTCATTTTACTTGGTGTTCAATACACTCGGATGAAAATCGAAATGTTTTACTGATTACTTTGTTTCAGTCTTGCATGCTTCCTTATTTCAAAAAATCAAAACCCAGAAGAAGGTCAAGCAAATCCAATCAATGTTCAACTACCACCAAAGTCTGAAGCCTTCAGAGCCAGTGCCTTCCAGCTCACTTGAGCCTATTGTTAAATATTCAGGAATTTTGTAAACTGGTTGTTAAACTCTTGGTAGCCTGAAATCAGCCATAGTGGGAGTATTTACACCAAGGAAATTGGCAAATGTTACAACGCAGGGCTTTACCAGCACATCATTACCTGAAGCAGTGCTTTAGGGATTAATACTAGTGTCCATGATGATACCGGAATGCCAGACAAGTCTGCTTCCATTTGATGCAGGCAGTCCCCGTTCCTAAATCTGTCCTTAAATTGAATTTTTACGTAAGTCAGAACAGTTAGGTACGGTTCATATCTAATGTCAGTTAGTCAACTGTTCGTCTTAGTATATAGTGTACCTTTATATGCATAAAAAGCATTAAAGAAATACTTCCAGATACACTAAAACATCTTTAACATAATAATACAGTAATAGTAATAATAATTTTTCATGTGTGTCACAAGGTAGTGCCCGTTTGTTATTATGAACCATTGTATGTACCTTGAATTTTTAATATAATAGGCTTTATAGGGGTTGTTCATAACTACGGTTGTATGTAAGTTGGATTCTTTTCCAGCTACGCTCACTCCTCAAATGATTAAGTTCCAAAGACAAAGTCAGTACCCAAAAACCGGCACTATGCGAAAATGGAGGATTTTTTTTTCTGTTTTCAGACCATCCATTTGTCCAATTTTTTTTATTTAGAAAGTATGATCAAAGAAATAATAACAGCTAAGATTTACTGATGTGCTCATCACTACGATCAGTCCAGTTATGGATTATTACTCTGCTGAGAAGGTGGTTTGGGGGAGACAAAGCTGGATAAAGCCAGGCTGTGTGACTGGAGGGCCCACGGCTTAACCACGTCACCTTCCTCTTGTGCTTGGTCAGAGCTTCCCTTGCGGAGCTGCTACCAGGCCTCCACTCCCAGCCCAGCAAGTCCGGTGTTCACCACCCAGGAGCCCCCTCTGCTCTCAGGGCCTGAGCCAGCCTGCACCAGGTCCCACCAAGGTGGAGGCTTCGGGCACAATTCGACTGACTTTGGGATGTCATTAAACTTGTACGCATTTCTTCCAAACACCCTCTCCTATGCCTCTCTCTTTCCTCCCTTTCCACCCCACAGCAATTTTGAGTTGCAAGGCCTCAGGCCACATAAGAGCTGGGAACCCATAACAGGTGCCCACGGGCTGGGTGCTGCCTGCATGTCCACCCAGAGGGTGTAGCCATGGAGGAAGCCAGCCCCGTGGGCAGCTGGATGAGGCATCCTGCCAGCTGGAGGGAGTGGCAGGCACAGGGCAGCGTGGCCCAGCTTCTTGGAGGCTGCCCAGAGACCCTCCTCAAGGGATGGGGCGCTCCACAGCCACTGCCACCCTGCTTGTTGCCTTGTTAATGTGCAAAATAGTTGGGACAGTAGATTTTTTACTATTGTTGTAAATGCAAAATGTCAGATAATGAGATAGTCGATAAATGAGGAGCAGGTGTATAACCTGGCACTAGCTTGTAAAGTCGCCTTCTCGTAAAACTCTTCTCATAAAACTAAAACCAAACCTGTTGCCATGGAGTCGATTCTGACTCCTAACGACCCTATAGGACAGAGTACAACTGCCCCATAGGACTTCCAAGGAGCAGCTGGGGATTCAAACTGCTGACCTTTTGGTTAGCAGCCAAGCTCTTAACCACTGCACTGGGGCTACGTACAGTTCCCTAGAAACTGTGACTACTATAGAAAAAGCATATACACTTAAAATTAAATTCTACCAAGGCCTTTACCTACTCATATTTACTTCTATCATATTTGGGTAGGAAAATCAAATTCAGTGAACTAACCTTTAAGAAGGAAAGGTCATAATTCTTTTGCACGTAGGTAATTTCCAAATTTCCCAGGACCACTTCACAGTTATTGAACATCCTCTGGAGGCTCAAAAAGTGATCTTCAAAAGTGCCCAACTGAGTGAGCTTGTTGCTCGTGCCTTGGCAAACTGAAACAAAGGAAAAAAGACACCATGTGAAATGCTGAGTAAAGTAGCAAAATGAAAATAAAGCAAAATTCATAAACTTCAAGTAACTTGGTGAGCTTTAATGACTTATGATATTCATTCTGATCAAAGAACACTTCAAGGCAAATATATATATATAGCATCATTCATAAGGAATCGCTCATCCCTATAATGCATGGAATTACATTATATCAAAACACACAAAGAAAAAAAATGTTGAAAATTCAAGGAGAGATCAATGAAAAGTCTGTGAAAGTCTTTTAAGATAGGGTAAATGTACAGGAGTTTCAGTAGACCCCCCCCAAAAAAAAAATCACAGGGCATTTTAATAATATAATTATAAGGTTCAATTAATAACTATAAAATGAAAATTTTTCTTTACAAAAAGATAGCATGTCACACCATCACGTGTCCAAAGAACATTTACTAACATAACATATACCAGGCGATATTTTCTGACCACAACCGTGTAAAACCTAAAATCAGTGACAAAGTATAAATTAAAAACCCCAAATGGCCAGATATTAAAAATATTCTTCTAAACAACAAACGTATCAAAGAAAAAGAATCAAAGGTTAATTATAAAATGTTTAGAAAACAACAGAAATGAAAACATAAAATGTAAAAACACACACAGCTAGTGAGAAACCAACATGTCCTTCTGTCTGGCATACTCCGCGTTAATCCACCCAGCTCGGGTATAGGTACATGGCTTTGTATCACCTGCCAGGACACAATCTTGGTGCTCTTAACTCCCTAATGTTTTAAGGTATCAGACTTAATCCAAGAAAACATTTTAAATTAGGGGACAAAGTTTGACTACAAACGTGCACTTGTGTAGTCTGTATTTAAAATCAAAGGAGAGGGTTATATGAAAATCATATTTACAAACCTGGCTCTTTGAAAGACATGTTTAGGCAAGCATAACAAAACAAAGAGGTGTGGGGCTTTTGAAGCAGGGAGCTTGTTAAAGGACTCTGCTTTGAACCAAAATGATCGTGAGAGTGAAGAAATACTGCCTTTGGCTTGGGACGTTAGATTCAGACCTGGCCAAGTTCTTCCTCGTCTGTAAGGTGCTACTGCAATCCGAGGAACCAGGTGGTGGAGCATAAAAACCAGGCCAAAGTCAATAAGCAGGTACTTTCCTCAGGAACTCTTTCTAAATATGCATTTCTATTTTATAGGCTCCTTTCTTCTTTCTCCATGGGAATTATTCTAAAAAGCATCATCAGACTGTCTTTTCTGGCATGATCGTGCCGCAGAAATGGCACATGTTCAGATGCCATGTAACTGACCCGAAACGTTCACACAAACAAGTAAATATGAAGCAATCTCCACATCCTCTTTAGCACTCTGGGGATTTCCCTCTTCTTCCCTTTTATGTGCTCATTCGAATTTGGTGGTAGGTAGAGAGACCTCTCGCAGAGGAATATAGAAGTCAAAAAAGATTGCATCCCTAGTTACTTACGCCAGGCGCAGAAGGATTCCATAATTCTTCCAACCATAACTCTGGATTGACCCAGACAATCTGCGGTCAGCTTTTACTGCAGAGGACAAGTGGCTTTGATGGAGACCTCACACTGGAACAGTTGAATGCAGCTGGCTGCCCCACATGTGATTTCTCAATTCTAAGGTCCTTAAAGATGCTACCACCAACATAGGTATTTGGTTTTGACAAGGACACGTGACCTTTCCCTTGGTGCAACTGGGAACAAAATCTGCTTTCTGAGCTGACAGCCCTGTGGTTTTGGGATCTGCTCTCACCCTAACTTTCAGCCTAACTGATCGACTGTGGTCTGAGTAGCCAAAAGTATTGGTCGTGCCAGCTGAGCCAGCGAGGTGACCAGCATGGACTCAAACTGAGGGTTGGAGGAGGTTTTTCAAGAGTTTCTTCAATACACAAAGGGATGAAAACAAAGGGAGATGCTCTCATTTAAAATGGTCAAGGTCATCAGCTTTGAAGTTTCTCAGAGGAAGTAAACAATCTTTATTATTAAATAAACGAGGAAATAGCTCTTGTCAGTAAAATAAAGGAACGAAAACCCACTGCCATAGAGTTGATTCTGACTCATAGCGACCCCATAGGGTTTCCAAGGCTGTAAATCGCTATGGAAGCAGGTTGCCACATCTTTCTCCCATGAAGCTGCTGGTGGTTTTGAACCACCGACCTTTCAGTTGGCAGTCGTTCGCTTTAACCACTGTGTCACCAGGGTGCTTTAAAATAAAGGAAAACATGCCATTTAAGCTTAGTTGGTTAAATTACAGAAAAAAAAAGGTCATTTAAAAAACGCTTCACTTGTGCTTTCAGTCATTCCAAAATTACTAAATGAGCACCGGAAGTATTTATTTGATGAAGACTTGTCATGAACCTTCATTGTCTGTAATTAGCATGAACTGCTTTGCTATTCAGAAACAAGATACTGTATTTGGAAGATTACTGATGTCAAGGTTAATTAAAGCATTTTGGGAGGCAACTGGATGACCTGTGTAAACAAATAAATATACTCAAATTCTATGTCACGATGATTCTACTTTGGAAAACTATTCTCAGAAAATAGACCTAAATATAAAAAAAAGGCTCATGCACACTGTTGTTAACTACTTATTTTTTTAATAATGGCAAAAAATTGCAAAAAACCTAAAGGTCCAACTGCCTAACATGTCTATTCTTCAGAATAAAAAAGCAGTTGGTATATTATTTGATCCAGTATAAGGCAAGTCCGTCTCGAATCCTATCCTAGGATTAATTACTAGAGCATCAAAAGAAATCATTTTAAGGGAGCTTCTTCTGAGGCTTTCTCCTGCCACATACCTAGCAGACAAGTGCATCAGAATGACTTGGTCTAGATTTCATGCTTGAAACAAAGTATAATCTTGGCTTCATCATTACACCATGTATCTTGTATCTCACATGACAAAAATAAAGCAATGATAAAAATTGAATATGAGGCCACCGATCTAAGTGAAATAAAAAATTACAATCACAAACTATTTAGATTTAAGACAACTGCAAAGAGCAAGCCCTTTTTAATTAATCTAGGAGGAAGTTTTTGTTTAACAGCTTTGTCATCGGGTGACCTTGAATTACTTCCCTAAGTTCCCTGCCCCGTGTTTTCCACAAATACAAAGACAGGGAAAGTGATATTGACCTCCCAGAACTGTTCTGAAGATTGAATGGATATATAAGTTTCTGTCCACTTTCATTGGATAAAGTTAACTGAGGAGACAAGTGCCAGTAATATAACATATGGTGCATCTGGACAGATGTCAGGGGACCTCCGTTGATGTATATTTGCCCTAAACTATTGTCTAAACTGGGGATATTTGGGTTTGTACACATAGGCTTACTCAAATGTAGGACATTAAACATAACTACTTTTATGATAGCTATCGAATTTGAAGAAAGGAAAAGGAACACAGTGTACTTTAGGAATTCATAAAAATTGGCATAATAAGCAATTTATTCAAAGATAAATTTAATATGACTTCAGGACTATACATCTGAAGAGGAGACAATTAAAAGTGTTGATGTCAAGCTCTATTTAAAAAATTATGCTCAAGGTTTGCTCTACTCTTGTAAATCTGATGACAAATTCTACTGAAACAAGTGCAGCAGATCCCACTGCAGCCTCTGCAAAGCACTTAGTTTTCTGTCTCCAAATTTTATTAGGAAAATTTACAAATGTATAGGAAACCTGAAAGAACTGTATAGGGAACATCCTTATAATCCACCACATTAGCATTTTACTATATCCATCTTAGTTTTTTAATATATTTTAAAGTAAGGTTCACTAATCAGTACACTTTGGTATATCATTGAGGGCAGTTCCATATTAGTTCACAGTGATTTATTTTGTTTTTTGAGGTAATATTTATAAACAGTGTAATGGTCAGTCTTAAGTGTACCCCACACCTCTGTCACCTAAACCCTCTCATGATATACAACATTACTAGCACCCCAGAGTTAACCGCTGTTCTGATTTTTTTCACTACTGTAGAACTTCATATAAATGGAATCATGTGGTACTACCCTTTTGTCTAAGGCTATTTCGCAGCATAGTGTCTGCGATTCATCTAGACCGCTGGACTGCACTAAGCTGTTGATGAGAGATTCAGGGAGGTGAGTTATGGGATGTTTTCTGTGTATTATTGGGCATCGAGGGCTGACCCATAGTCTGGTTATTCTTCATTTCAAGATAACCCCCATTTTATCATTACTGAAAATAAAAACAATCTGCCTCTTTTAAATCTTTAAAGCTCCCTGATTTTATGGAGTAAGGCCCACGGCCTTCCGATGCCATTATGGGGGTATGCACCTCAGTTTGCCCACAAGCCTGGGCAAATCTGTCTTACTGATTAAGACATACCATCCAAACAAGTTTCTCCAGGGTTGCCCAAATCCACTTAGGTGTTTTTAGAATTGCCCAAGTTAAATTCATAATTGTTTTAATTTGTTGTTTTCTCAAGTACACATAAATGGGTGCCAAAGTACTCAGGTTCTTGTAGTTCTATCTTTGTCCCCTTTTCCAAATAGCATTGTTTAAAAGCACAAATCACATCACACTACTCCTTGGTTTGAAACCATCCAAAAGTTTACCAGTATAATTAGAATACAGTACCAACTCCTTTCTGCTGTCAATGAAGCACCTTCTCTTAGCCTCTCTTCCCCTGGTTCAATGTCCCAGCTACACCCCCCTACTTCTCTCTAGCAGGGAATGTTCTTCCACCTCATCTCAGATCTTGGCATGTCTGCCTCCATTTTATCACCGAGGTTCCAACTCAACAGCCATCTCTTTAGAAAAGCCTGTTCTGGAACCACATTAGCTGAAGTATCCACCATTGCATTCTGTCCCAGTATCCTGCCTTTTCTTCCTAGCATTTACCACGACCTCTGTCCACCAGAACGTAGGCTTGATAGCGGGCACTCTGTGGATCTCGTTGACCCCTGGTGCCCCAATTCATGGCCAGCATCCATATCTTGG